CCCCAAAACCCCAAAACCCCAAAACCCCTTGGCTTAAATAAAAAATAGAAAATGAGCCACGAAGGTATAGAGACAGATCTGAGGGATGGAGAGAAGGTGGGAGTTAATAAAGGGAGATGGTCATCATTAGAGCATTTTAAATTTCTTGAAGGGATTAAAATGTTTGGAAAAGATTGGAAGAAGTTGAATTTGCATATAAAAACTAGAACTAGTGTCCAAATAAGATCTCATGCCCAGAAGTTCTTTTCAAAACTTAGTAAAGAAATTAAAACATTAGAACAATTTCAAGAAGACACTGATCTTGAAGAATTAAAGAAGAACTTACTCCAATCAGAAATTCCTCAACCCAAATCTATCACTGCTGAATCCACAAACCATACTTCAAATAAAGTTCCTGTTCATCAATCAATACCCAAAGATTCTCCTCAAACTGAAGTTCCCATTAAAGTAATCAATCATTCTAAAAATTTGAATACGTTTAGCCTTCAGAAACAGTTCTGTTCTAATTATATTTTCTAACACTTTAATTTGACAATTTTTCGAGATGGAACAAAATAAAAACTGTTAATAATTCTCGATTTTGTCTGAAAAACAAATTTTAAAATCTACAAATAACAGATATATTCCATTTATTGACTCAAGCCCCAAACTATAAGCCTCTAAAATTATCCCTCAATATTTTCCATTTAGATTCCAGTCCAAATCGATCCAGAAGTCAACAAAGTAGCAAGTATTCCTAATCCTCCCTTTCCGCGAAGAGCTAGAGAAAAAGAAGAACGTAAAGAAACAGATGATGGAGAAAAGTCATCTAAAGTCTCAAAATCCTCGTCAAAAGGTATAATTAGTAATCAGAGATTTAGGGCCAGATATTGTCACCTTGGTAGTATTAGGTATCGGAATTGCATCAATCGGAATAGTGCTGTATAAAACACTTAAGGGACGATAAAACCTAATTAGCTTTACTAAATCATTCAATATTCTTAAAATCTTGTGGGGTTTTGGGGTTTTGGGGTTTTGGGGTTTTGGGG